CAGCCCTGCACAGGCAGCAGTTGCCACCCCCTCTCCCAAGGTGGCATGAGGGCCAGCAGGGGTGAGGTGGTGCCCTGCAGCATCCCACTGTGGCACAGGATGCTGCAGGGCAGTGCTGCAGCCAGGGTATCATTCCACCTGTAAAGCTTTGCCATCTGCAGGCACCTCTCCCAGCACTGGGACTGCCTCTGAGCAGATATCCTGCCTTGCAAGACAGCGGGACACATGGACCAGGGGGTCGCACTGGAGGAAGAGCAGGCAGCAGCTCATCTTCCCTGCCTAATTTGTTGTTAAACTACCCCTTTCCTCCAGCACAGCCCTTCTCAGGATGCACTTGGGATGTGGCATTGCTCAGCTCCACTGAGCAACGGGTTCTGGTGCCAGGGGAGCCACACTGCCAGCCAGAGGCTCCGGGAGCTGCGTGAGGAGTCCCCGGTCCACTCAACACTGCAGGAGTGGAGGCAGCTGCCGTTCTGCTACTTTTATTGCCTTATTAGAGATGGGCAAAGGGGGCTTGGAGGTGAAGAGAAAGCAGAACCTGAGCCCTGAGCTATGTCTCCATTCCAGCCACAGCCACCAGCACTGATGCCAGCAAGGGAACAAGGACCTCACAGTGCCCATGTGGCACATGCAAACCCTTCCAAACAGCAAGCCTTCTGCAGCCTCCACGAGAAGAAGCCTGTGCACAGGCAACCTCAGTATGCAAAGGACCCAACGCCCAGCACCTTCTGATGCTCAGGAGGCTGGGAAATGAACCACGGGGCTGAAGGACTTCATGGCCTTGGGCCAGCAGCATAACATGCCCTGACCAGGCATGGTATTTTCCCAGGGAATTAAGGCTCACCTCGGCAGGGAAATCTGGCCGCAGCGCCTCCGAGGGGGAGGTGACTACAAACTCCTCCTACGGCGCACAGAGCCTGCCAGAGAGAAAGGAAAAAAATTCCAGCAGCTGAAGGAACCCAACCATCTTTGGTCAGCAGCGGTGGTTGTTGACACTCGGGGATGTTCCACTCCAAAGAATGCTGCTCCAGCTGCCGCTTATCCTACACATCCACGTTTTAGAGTATCCCTGGCTTTTATCACAGTTGAAACATTTTGTACCAAAAGGGCATGCCGGGAGGGAAGCCAAGAGGACCTCATGTTTTCATGGGAAAGGCTAAAAAAACCAACATCCCTCTGTGTTTAAGGCTGAGGAAAATGAGCTAAATAAGGCTTTTCTGCCTTATAGCAGTTTATTGCCTGACATTGCTCCCAAGTCACCGGGGAGATCTCTGGAGCATCACGCATGCATCCAGATCTTGCCTCTGGCCATCAGCAAAAGGACTTCGGGGAAAAGCAGATGTTCCAGACAGGAACAGTTCTCACAGACCAGGAGGCGTGTGCAATCGCGGGCGGCAGGATCTGCTCCTCTAGCTGTGCCATGCCGGGGAAGCTGGGATGTCCCAACTCCGAGGCATTGCGGACAGTTCCACAGAGCCTGGCTCAGGAACGATCCTCACCTGCCGTCGCCCGGACACGCCTGCCGGGCCTGGCAAGAGGCTTCCCGGGCAGAGGTTGCCCGGCAGGGCTCACCGGGAATCCTCCTGCCGCTGAGTCACCCCGGTCCCAGGGCTGACCTCGGCATCAGCTCCAGCACGGCAGAGTTGGAGGAGCGGCGGAACTGCCTCCCTCTGCTCCCTCCGCTCTCCCGAGACGGTCGGGGCTGCTCCATCCGCTCTCCCCGGCTCCATCCCCCCCGGTCCACCGGGACTGCCCCCGGCTCCATCCCGCCCGCTCCATCCCACCCGCTCTCTCCATCCCGCCCGGGGCCGCCCCCCTCCCCGCCGTGGCCGCTCGCTCCTGTCCCGGGGCGGGCCCCGGCGGAGCCGCCTCACCTGTCCCAGAGCAGAGAGCTGCGGGAGCTGCGGGAGCTGCCGGAGCTGCGAGGCGGTCGGCGCGGTTCTGCGGGACGCGGCTCTGCGGGGCGGGCGGGCAGTGGGTCCCGGCCCGCCCCGGCCCGACCCGGCTCGGCCCATACAAGGCAGAAGAATGCAGCGGGACCAGGGCCGCGGGGCAGGGCCGGCGGGACGGCCTTATATAGACGAAAGGAGTGGCCCACACGTGCCCCCCGTCCCGCGCGCTGGCACCGGGGGGCTGTGAACCGGCGCGTCCCCGTGGGCGCCCCTGCGCATCCCAGCCAGGGGACACAGGGATGCCACTCTCTGGAGAAGCCGTGGGCAGCGACGGGTGACACCAGCCGGGGGCCCACGGCTGTTTGGACAGCTCTGGCTGCGATGGCGTGGCCGGGGTGGGTCCCTGGGGCAGGGGTGGGGCTGCTGGAAGAGCAGCGGCCCGCGGGGTCCGTGGAGAGGCCGGAGGATGTTCGCAGGCTGCACCACGAGTGGCCGAAAACCTCTGCCAATGGTCCTTGGGGCTACGCAAAGGGAACGGTGGCCAGAAGGACCAGCCATCAGCGCTGACTTCTGTCAGTGCCCTGGGCTGTGAGACCCCAGAAGGACCCCGTAAAACAGCCCCTCAAAGGCCCTCTAAAAAGTGGCCTGGAGCAGAGAACAGCCAGGGAGCTGCCCCATTCCCAAGCAGGGATCCAGAGCCCGGAGGAACAGGGATGGGGAGTTCCTACCCTTCCCTTCTCTTGAGGCAGGAAGGCACCGGTTCTGAGACACCTCCAGGGCAGCAGGTTCTGCTCATGATTCCTTCCCATCAGCAACCTTGAGCCTCATCATAGTCCTGCAGGCATGTGCCTGCAGCCCTGTCAAAGGACAAGCAGCGGGATCAGGAGTTGGCCAAATGCAGGAATGGGGCTGGAAATGCTGCCGAGTGCAGTGCCAGGGCAGAGGTGAGCCAGGGAGAACACAGAACCTTTGTCATACCCGTGAGCTGTACAGGGGGTCCCCAGAAAGGTATATCTTTTTATTAAAAATTTAAGGAAAGAAACAAAAAAGAAAGAAAAAGAACCGGGAGTCAGCCAGCCCAAGCTGCCACCCTGTGGCTGGTCCCCGGGTTTTCTGTGCTGGAGAAGAATCCTGGTCTCAGTTTGGTCCAGGCGGTCCTAGGAGCCATCCTCCAGCCACTTCGGGGTGGCCACCGTCCCTCACTGAGCCCCAATTCCTCACTACTGAGCAAGTGTCAGGCTGGGCCCCTGCAGAGGGGAGCTGCTGGAGAAGGGCAGCATGGACATGTCAACTCCTTGAAGGCTTTGCAGCCTCTGCAGCTGTGTGCACACAAGGGGCTGCTGCTGGGCCACCTCATGCTGTCCCTTGAGCCCTATCCAGCTCTTCCTGCCTTCCCCTGCCTGTGCCCAGGGCTCTCCATGTCATCCTTCTCCCCCATTTCCAAGTGTCTGCCAACACCCATCCCTTACTGGGGGCTGCTTGTACCCTCAGGACACACTCTGGCACCTCTCCTGCCTCCTTCTGGCCCCTTCAAGCCCAAATTTAATTTGCTTTTCTCTGGCCAGTTGTATCAGGCAATGGAAATAGAGTAAAACAAGACATTTTGTTTAGCATGTGAATTTTAAATCAGTTCCCTGATCCAGGTGTTTCATTATTGTGCAAATGTTTCTATCCCTGTGAAGTGGCCTGGGGGAGGAGCACAGAGCTGGGGACAGTGGCACTCCTCACCTGCTTAGGACACAGCCTGAGGCCTGGAAGAGCTGCAGCTGCAGCTGTCACCTCCCCCTGCCCTCGGTGCATCCATCACAGAGCAGAGGGTGCAGAGTACCTGGGGCTGCTACAGCCCAGGCACCCGAGGAGTGTCCCAGGAGCAAGGCTGGAACCAGGACACGTGTGACCTGGCCCTGCCATGGTGTGGGGTCAGAGGCACAGGATCTGCCAGAGATACAGCGATGACACCCCTCCACACACACGTCCCTTCTTGCCAATGCCATGTGGGTCCCTTGGCTTGAACCAGCCTCTGGCATGAGGCAAATGCCCAAGGGGCTGTACATGTGATGAGAGGCCTGATGGCTGAAGCATGGCAAGATACTTTTGAAGTCCATAAGTATCTTGCATAATCTGTATTTAAATTATGTGGCCTTGGCTGGAAGTGATCTGAGGCCTGGGAGAAGGACTTGTCTGCCTGCTCCCTCTGCCAACCCCACAGGGCCCAGGGAGGGTCGTCTGCCCCAAAAGATCCTGTTGGAATCAGCAGCAAGGCATGTTATGATCAGATTCTTGAAAATTATTAGAAAGATGCCTCTGCCCAAATTAAGGTGCAAATCAGACCATATGTCAAAGTCAATAGTACAGATTTTTATTTAATGGTAATTGGGAAGTAATTATTATGCCCACATAATCACACCCTGAAGAGGATAACAGAGAGTCAATCCCAACCAAATATCCAGCCCACGCCATGCAGAAATAATTCTCAATATGTTTTTCCATGATGAGTGCGAGTGGCTTGAGCACCACTGCTCTTGGAAGGCAAGAATATAAAAATTAGTCAAATCTTTAGAACTCCACATGTCATTACTTGATCCACAGATGCCGTATGTTCGGCTGCTGTAAGGTCTGCTCAGATCACCAGCTAATGAGCGGCACAACCGTGTGTGTCCCAAAAGCTGCCCTGCTCCCCACCCTCCAGCCTGTCCCCAGGGAGGAGCTGGGGCGTCTCCAAAGCCTGGCTGTGAGCCGTGAGCCGACGGCGTCGCATGGTGACAATGTGCCGCAGGCGAAGCTGTCCGGGATCCCGTGGGATTGTCCGAGATCCCGGGATCCCCACGCGGCCCCGTTCGCAGGCTCAGCAGGTGCTTCGGGGGTCCCAAGGTCCCTCTCCCCCCCCCAACATGTGGGGACAACACGGGGGCTGCTGTCTCGCCTTTCCGCCGAGGAGCGGCCCTTCCAGGCTGAGCCTTCCCCTGCCCCTTCCCCGCCCCCCTTTCCCTTCCCCATTCCCTGTTCCCGAAGGAGGAGCCGGGCGCTGGCCCCGCCCGTCCCGCCCTGGCCCCTCTCGGCCGCCGTAGGGCGGCGGCGCCATTGGCGGAGCGCGGGCGGGGCCGGGGTTGGTTCCGGGCCGAGGGTCCGGAGGGTCCGGGCGGGTCCCGAGGAGGGTCCGGGCGGTTCCGGCTGAGCGGGATGAGCGGCGGGCGGCGCCGGGACGAGCCGCCGCACCCGCAGCACCACGCGGTAGCCAACGGCGGCGCGGCCGGGCGCGGCTCCGTGTGGGGCAAAGCGCTGCGCAGCGACTCCGCCTGGCACGACAAGGTGGGCCCTGGGGGTCGGGGGGCCGTGAGGTGCGGGATCGGGGGGGGGGGCTGGGGCGGCTCCGTCCCGCGGGGGGATCGGAGGAGCCGCCATCTCTGCGCTCGGGTAAAGCCCCTGCCGGGCCGGTGCCCGCAGCGCCAACGGGCGGGGAGCCAAGGAAGCACAACCTGCATTACTGTTAGGATACCTCAGTTACATTTGGTTTGTGGGTTAAACTCTTCCTGGATTAACTAAAAATTTAATTCGTGTAACTAAAGGAAAACTAGAAACTGAATCCACTTTCAGTTTTCCTGCGCGTGTCTCCCGTGTGCTGCCGTGCTCCTGCTCGGTGCTTCTCCCTGCTGCTGCCTCCCGGCAGCGCGGCCACGAGCTGCCCTGAGCTCCTGCCGTGTCCCGGCCCCTGCCATATCCCTGGCACGGCCCGGGCACACCATGTGTGTTCCAGGATCTCTGCTCCCTGCCTTTGGCTTTGCCTTTCGGCGTGGGGAAATTGGACGATCTGCTCGGCATTTCCTTGGGGAACAGACTCTGTCACTTTTGCCTTAACCTGTTACTCCCAGAACTGGTAGGGCTCGTCTGTCCCTGCCCCTCCGCTATGATTGATGGGGCTGGAATTTCAGAGTCAGCAGGGGGCCAGTGACAGCTGTGCCCACGTTTTGGTGCAGTAGGATGTGAACTGAAGGCTGAACTGACTGACCAGTGTAGTGACCAAGGGAAATGTCTTTACTTGACATGGATTCAAGTCTTCCACATGGAACCAAACAACTGGCACATCCTACAGTAACATCACAAAGGCTGTTGGTGTTTGGGGTATGGTGGGACAATCCCAGCCTTGGGGAGGCTGGGAAAAGGTATGTGAGCTTAAGTAAATCTTATTTAAAGTGTGAGCCAGCACTGTCCAGCTGCAGTAGTGCGGCGGCGTGGTCCCTTGGACAAACAGCAGTGAGCACGTCCCTGCTGCTTGGGAGGCACAGGAGTGAGGTACAGCTGGGCTGGGCGCTGCTCTGGGTTCTGGGAGCTCATGAGCACGGGAGGGTCTGGCTGGAGAGTTGCCGTAACAGTCTTAAAACACAAACAACTCTTTAAATGAACTTTTATTGAATCTTTAGTAAACAAGGAGGCTCGGTACTTGTTCACCTCTGCAGTTCATCCATCAGAGGACAAAGCTGTATTTAATTTGGAAGCAGAGAAGCCCAGGATGCACAATGCCCTAAGTGGTTTTTATCTGTTCTAATGCAATATCTTATACTCTTAATGGAGAACTAAGTGTTCAGTGTGTTCAATTTTTACCTGTCAATTGTATGATGCTTTAAAAAAAGGAAACATAATATATGCCAAAATCTTTCTTGTGCTTTATCTCCTCAGGACGAGTTTTTAGATGTAATCTACTGGTTCCGGCAGATCATTGCAGTTATTTTGGGAATCATCTGGGGAGTAGTTCCACTGAAGGGCTTCGTGGGAATAGCAGTGTAAGGTTTATTTCCTTTTCTGTCTCATGTACTTTCCCACGTTTGGACTGGACTCAGAGCCTGTTCGAGGCTGTGCTGTGAGCAGTGGGCTGGCTCTGCCTGCTATGTCTGACAGCCAGCATTGCATTCCAGGCTGTTCGTTGCCATGAAATTCATCCAAATCATAACATGTCCATCAGCCTCCTTCTCCTCAGCCTGATTTATGCTTTTTTAATTTATTATTTATTTTGTTAAGGGGGGTGGGGGCAGAAGAAGGGAACAGGAATTTTTGTTGACTTGGGATGTGTGTCCTGCACGTGTGAACAGGGGCTGTGTGGTGCCTGGTGTGATCTCCCAAGAAGGAATGTCTGTAGAGGTGTGGTAGTCCTTGTCTTTGAGGCAGGAGCCCTGCTCGGAGAAGAGGCTCTGTCAGCAGATAAGAGGGGCAGCTTCTTTGTGAAGAAGGAAAGGTTTCTTCAAAGCCCCAGAGGCTGCAGGTCCCAGGCAGGCAGAGCGGCACTGGCAGTGCTCGGGCAGCGCTTCCCAATGCAGCTCTTCCAGCTGTGGTGTGGGGGAAGGCAGTGCCTGGAAGGGGGCATGTGCATCGGATTCCCACAGGATGTGGGAGCCAGGTCACCTCCCCACGGGTGTCTGAAGGCTGCAGTGAGTTATGAACTGAAAATCTGTTTGGCGCGGACACGTACCTGAAAGCCTCTGAGGGACAGCAGAGATGGGAATGCAGCCCTGTGCTCTGAACATGGGCTCTGAGAAGGTGCTGGGTCTGCTCTGAGCTGTCTCCATTTTCAAGTATCTCTGCCTGGCCAGGGTCTCACAGTCAAGCTGGAGCTTGACTCACAGCTTTTCTTAGGCAAAATTCACTTGTCATCTTGTCCCTCCTCCCGAGTGTCCTGGCTGTGCCAAGGAAGCAAAGGGTCGATGCTCCAGCAGGAACTCAATAGTTACATCAAAGAAATGAATCTGAAGTGCCCCCAGAAACAGGTGTGGGGTAGGTGAGCATGTCCTTACGTAGTCATCCATTAATTCACAAAGCACCTTCAGGCACCTAAGCCAATTCACAGAATCAACTAGGTTGGAAAAGACCTCTGAGATCACAGAGTCCAACCTATGACCCCACACCACCTTGTCAACTAGACCAGCACACTGAATGCCACATCCAGTCTCTTCTTAAACACCTCCAGGGACCGTGACTCCACCACCTCCCTGGGCAGCCCATTCCAATGTCCAATTACTCTTTCTGTGTAGAATCTCTTCCTAATGTCCAACCTAAGCCTCCCCTGGCACAGCTTAAGACTGTATCCTCTTGTCCTATTGCTAGTTGCCCGGGAGAAGAATTCCTGTGCTTAATGTTAATAAGAGTGATTTGGTGTAGTATGGAAAACTAAAAGCTGCTGGAAGCATGTGTGTGGTTTCTCTGTGCTGTTGCAGTCACACAGCTGCTCTCAGCTGGTGACTGACTGTGTGTGTGTTGTCATACCACTCCTCCCATACAGCCTTCCTTTCAGGACACCATCCTGTCCCTTTCCAGGCTGCCCCAGCCCTAAGCTGGGGTGGTGTAAAGCCAAGCAAATCTAAGGACAAACAGGAACATGTTTGTTCTCTCTGCTGCAGCCCGACTGTCAGCACAGACTGGAGAGCACTGAGAGCTGGCTCAGGTTGGGCCCCAGTACTGGGGCTCAGGGCACTGTTGAGTCTTCCTGGCTCTCGTCTCCAAGCCATCACATTTGGTGTTCACAGGGATGTTACCCTGAGCATGGAAGCAACAGTCTTCCCTCTCAGCAGCCTCAGAATCAAGCAGCACACACAAGGAGATTGAATTCTCTGTGGCAGCAGGACTGTGGATCTCCAGGACAGGAAAATGTGCAGGTTTGCAGATTGGAGGATACTTCCAGCTTTTGACTTCTGCCTGTTGAGCCCTACTAGGATTAGGTTGTGCCTTGTGAGGTGAACTTCATCCCACCCTGGCATACTATGGCAAGCTGACCTGGAGGGGCTTTTCAAGGAGGTGATTGAGCTGCCTGGGAAACGTTGCAGGAAGAGTTCCTCTTTGCTTCCCCTGTGGATGAAAGATATTTCACTGTATGGTATATGGGATATCTGCAGCCTATATCACTGGAGTGACAGTTCCTTACCTCTTTCCTCCAGATTCTGCCTGATCAATGCTGGTGTTCTGTACCTCTACTTCAGTAGCTTCCAGCAGATAGATGAGGAGGAGTATGGCGGGACGTGGGAGCTAACGAAGGAAGGATTCATGACATCTTTTGCACTGTTTCTGGTAATGCCTCTTGCTTTCCTCAAGTTGATTAGTGAATTGTGTTTGTGCACTTTCTGAGGGAAGAGATCTGGAAGGAGGGCAGGTGAGGTGGTGAGAGAAGAGATGTGTTAACATTATCAAATAAGTGACATTGATTTGGGAAAGAAAATCACAAAATCTGATGGCTACTGGCTATAAAATACAGTGCCAGTGCCTGGGATTTCTCTGTACGAAAGGATGTAGGAACAGGCAGCTGTACTTTTACATCTACCACTTAACTTTTATGTTTTCCCATCCTCTGTCCCAGATATCCTGGTGGAGTTCCATATAGAGCTAGTTAAGCTGGTGTTTTGAATGTCTTTGTTTTCCTTACTCCTCTCACTCAAGTCTCTAATCACAGCACTTGGTTTGGTGGTGTTCTAAATCACCGGAGGGGCTGGGGTGAGAGTTTAATGTGGAGAAGCTGGGCACTCCAGAGGTCAAGCAAGTTGGATGCCACTGTTTGTGCCATGTGGTGATCCTGAAATCTCCCCAAGACCATCTCAAAGCTGGAATTCAGTCCTCAGTCCTCTATTGAGAACAAAGCCTGAGGCTTGTTTGCTGTCTGAACCCCCTCCAGAGGTATCCAGATAAACTTCACTTCCTTTCCTCCCCACAGGTTGTTTGGATAATCTTCTATACTGCCATCCACTATGATTGACACAGTCTGCAGCATTTGCCTGTTAAATCAGTAGTCAGTAAATCAAGAAGGTTTTAATAAGTCCTAGTCTTTAGTGGACTGGTGGGAAGGTGGGGAAGTCAAACCAGTTCCCTTCCATACCAGAGGTCTGATTAGCCTGGAGGAGCCCCAACTCTTCTGCTGGAGAAGCCTGTCTCTGTTTTATATACCCATGAATTATTGGAACTATTAAAAAGCCATTGGAATTTTTGGAAGTGGTTCAAGACTGTTCACATGTGTAACTTTCTGTGACTCTAGCCAGTAACTCTACAAACTGCTGTGTGCTGAAGATTGAATCTGTTAATTTAATGTATGTATGCCCATCTGTTTGAAATCTGTCATTAAATCCTGACTTGTCTTCCATGGTTGTCCTTTAGACAAACAGTGTTTCAAAAGCAGTTGTAGGTACGTGGGCAGAGGGCATGGCAGCACCCAGGACATGAGCTGGTGGCTGCCCTTGGCATGTTTTTGTAGTAATCAGATCTGATTTGATTAAACAGACTATGTTGTTAACCATTTCTAATATTTTTTTATTTTACTTGCGAATCAGCTGTCGATCAGAATTTTTAAATGCTTTTTGCTGAAGAGAAATTTTTAAGCAATTTTGCTAGGAAGAATCGATTCATTTGGTTAACCAAGATGTATTCAAGAAGCTCGGAAGCTCCGCTGCACTCTGCCAGCCTGACTACCAAGTTGCTATCACATACCTCAGAGCTTCATAGTCTCAAAGGACAGTCATTCTGGATATACCCTGTTAAATGTTAGCATTTAAATTTATTTGGGTTTAAGCTCTTGAATTTGACTGCTCCTTGTTAATAAATGCAGGAGACTAAGACACAATTGAGGCAGCTATTATCTTAAATGCAGACTTGCAAGTCTGGCAGAGTACACAGCTTCTGATTTGTGAGGTGCTCGGTCACTTCATAGCTCAGTCCCTCCCTAGTTGTGCCCTTTTTGTGCATCAAAGGGGAATCTCTGCATTAAGATATTTTTAAGGAAGTGTCTTTCAGAAATAGTTCTTGGGAAATACGCACAGTCCTTGTTTTTGTCAGAGGACCTTGTAGTCTTGTTGCCATGCGGTCCTTGCTTTTCTAAACAGCTCAGACACCCAAAAAGAGTCCTGACCTAAAGCTGCCTTATAGTAAGGGGTTGATAGTTTAGTGTGCTCTTGCTGCAAGTCTGCTTTGCCTCCTCACTGGTGGAAGTGCCACAGCCTGGCTCTCACCTGTGAGTGTGCAAAGCCAGGGATCTCAATCTCCAAGTGCTGAGCCAGGGCTCTGGAGTTGCCCACCAGTGCAGGCCTCCATTCTTACCAGGGAAAATGCTGTCTGTTCTTGGTGGAAAAAACACCCCTGGCTATTTTAGGTCCTTGGGATGCCAAGGGAAGAGTGCAATAGCAGACAGCTTCTGCTATATGTGAGTGGCCAATTTAAGTAAATGATTTCAAATAATAACTTCTATATTTTCTCCTCTCTATCCCCAAACTTGCTCAAACTTTTAGTCTGCTACTTTCTTTCCCTTTTCTATCAGCTGAAACCATTAACTTTCCACAAGAATTGCACAGCCTGCTAGTTCTAGGTCACCCTTTCCTGCTGGCATCTGCATCTTAGCTGCTCACAGCCATCAGTAAAACCATTGTATACTTGAAATGCTCTAATAAATGTTGCCTGAATAACCCACTGTTGCAGCTTCTGTATCGTCCGGTCTTTGATGTTTCATAAAATGGTGGGAGCGTGGAATTTCTTTCAGAGTTTGATTTTTTGGTAAAAATTTTGGGGATTCTCAAATCTCTTGTGCTGCAGCCTCAAGTCCTGCACTTTCAGAAGAGGCCAGAAGCATTCGTAGTGACAGCAGTAGATAATGCTTAGATCCATCCTTCAATTAAGCAGGTTCAGCCAAGTGTTGCCTGTTTAAACTGTTCTGCTCCTTCAGCAGGTGTCCCTGCCACGTGACACACAGTCATGGCAGAGCCACTGCTGCATTCCAGAGTGCTCCAGGCTGGTCTGGGGCAGGACTCTGAGCACTGCTGTAACATGTGCAGAGCTGCTTTCCTGCCCCTTTGCTCTGTTCCTTGCTTGCCTGTGCTCCCACCAGCTGAGTTTCTTGTGCTTTGCACTTCTTTGCAGTTCTAGTGGCTGCAAGCCGAGGCAGAACTCGAGCTCAGGAGGACTGGAGTAGGGACTGCCATGGGAGAGCAGGGCTTGGGCAGCACCTCTGCCCTCAGCACTTCTGGATTGGCACAATGAGCTTGCTCTGCCCTCTCTTCTTCTTGATGGGAAGGAGAGTGAACCCATGGCTGGTGGGGGGTCTTTGCATGGAGCAGCAACCCGGGGACAAATATGTCCTTCCTGTGCTGGAGAGCTGAGCTATGGAAGCCACAGCTGTCGGGACACAGTTCCACCAGGAGCTGTATCCTTATGGAGCTGACAAGAGGGTGCAGAGAAGAGGCTGCACTGCCCACGGGCTTGGTGAAGCTCCCTGCTAGCTGCAGTATTGCAGGAACATCGCTTTGACTTTCACCAAAGAGCAGCCAGTCCCTGGCTGGAAGGAGAGGGAGATATTCCCCAGCCTAACCTCACTGAGACATGAGCAGCAAGTGTATTCTGGTGTGGAACTGGAAGAGAAGTTTCTGTTGGTCTCTTTTGGGCTTCAAGAGTACCATCTGTTAAAACTAATGCAGGTTACTTTCAGTGTTAAAGGGAGGAAACCAGTGTGGGTGCAAAGGGGTGTTGGGGGGGGTGGCTGTGCCACTGGGTATCTCAAGTCTTGCCAACACCAGCTGTCAGAGCCCAGCTAAACATGCAAACCAGCATGACCAAAACCGGTTACCTGGGGGTTGGCCCAGCAAGGAAATGCTGCTGCTGTCACTTGCCTTCAGCAGTCCTTGGGATGTCCTTAGAGTGAGCGGTGCCTGTTGGGGTGGCAGCACACCACTGAGGAGCCCTTGTTCCTCCATGGGGTGTTAGCACCTCTGCAGTTCCACAGCTTGATTTCTAAGCTTGCAAAGGCTGGGCTCACTGTTGTTGGCATTCTGCTCTCCACATATATTGCAGAGGCTTATAAAATTGAGACAAATAATATATTCAAATGAATTTATTTTATAAACCAGTTAAACCAGATAAACCAAATAAGCCAATTAAAGCTTGGCCAACATTTGAATACACATTCATTATATCGAATTGGAACTACCCAACTGTAAGAATTCTCATTATTTCAGAAGGGTAACCCAGAATGCACAATCCCTCACGCAATGAGGGCTCTCAGCCTTGAGGAGTTTCCTCGGGGGAGCCCCTGTCTGCTGACCCTCAGCTCCGAGGAGGAGCAGCTCCACTGATCCCCGTTGGGACTCGGTCTGTAGCCCCATTGAATGTGATCTGTGGTCAGATACAGTCACGTTACCCCTCACTGAGCGGGGTCTGACCTCCTGCCCCACCACAGCCACCACGCGGGTGTGATGGGGCTGGTCGTGCCGGCCAGCCGGGACATGGCCGGCTCACCGGCCGGAGGGGCTGAGGTGGGTACTCCTGCCACAACCAATTGGTTTGGATTTGTTTGTTGGGTTGATCTGTTAATTCTCTGCCAGGCAGTGGGTGGAGGAGGATTCAGTATGGACACACTCCTAGCCTTAGAGGAGCTGCAGTGGTGGGGAAGGGACCCCCCTCCAACTGCTGAGGATGGGGACACTGGAGAGATGCCTGAAAGTGGAGCAGGCTGAGACTGGCTTGCAGAAGCCAAACGAACCTATTCTTAATCCTATTTATTTAGTTACTAACTGGCAGTGGCCATTATGCCCTCAGGCCACTGAAGGCACAACCAAAACCTTACTACCGCCACAGCAAAGGAAGGTTTACATCTCCCTGTGTTGAGAAGCACTGAGCTAATGGAGCTGCTCATGCAGGGAAGAGTGGAGAGTATTAGCTGGCTCATTAGAGGATGAGAAAGTAGGACACATACCTCTCAGGTGACTTCCCCAGAGCCAAACAGCCCAGCACTCCACATGCTCTGTCTCCCAAAACAACAGATGTCCAGGAGAGATTAGGGCAGTAGAAAGATTTTTCAGACCTGGCAGCCAAACAGCCAGGAGTGTGTGCCAAGCTGAGAGAGGCCAGTGTTGTTACGGGGATAACGGATTTTCACAAGCTTGGAGCCATGAAAAGAAACAACCTCTTCCATCTTCCAGTTATTTTACTGGTTTTTTTAGGTCAGCTTCCAAAAGAACTGTAGGGGGGAAAATGAAATATTTCAGCTCAGGTCTGCCCCAGGTATGGCCCCAGTTCTGGCCCCGTGCAGACCAGCTGTGCTGCCCGGCAGCCTCAGCCCCTCCTGATACCTGTGCGGGTGCTGCTGGAGCCAGGAGCAGGGAGAGACACCAGTGCCAGGTGGGCCTGGCCAGCTTCACCTGCAAACACCAAACAAACCTGCCGTTCCGTAGAGGGGAACTCGGTCCTCAGCTCTCAGCCCCAGAGGGCCTTCACGAGCAACCCACGTCGGAAGGTTATGGGAGAGCAGAGACATCGCTCAGTGGCAATGTCACCGCGACTCTTGCTGATGGTCCCCCTGGGGTTGGACCCCCCCCTGCCCCGTGGTCATAGGTGACATGTCACATGCGAGCCCCCCTGCTACAGGCTGCTTTCAATCAGCGGCGACACACAGTCTCTCGGGAAGCTCTTCCAGCCTTCTGGAGGCAGGACTAAGAAATCTTGGACCCAGCTCCCCTAGCGGCTTGGCCCGGACCGCGAACGCCCCTGGCCTGGGGGGACTGGGGCTGCTGCCCCCGCTGTGGGTCAGGGGCTAAGGGGAGCTCAGCCCCGGCCGGGCCCCGGGCCGTGCCCGCCGCTGCCACCCCGCGGGAAGAGCCGCCCTCGGGCCCGGCCCCTTCCGGCGGCCACGCCCGGCCCGGCGCGGTGCGGCTCCGTTGGACCGGCGCGGTGGGCCCGGTGGGCCCCGGCCCGGCGATGGCGGTGCCGGCGGCGGCGGAGGCGGTGCCGGGCCGGCAGCAGGCCTTGGCCGCCGGCTCGCCCGTGGATTACATGAGCATCACCAGCTTCCCGCGGCTGCCCGAGGAGGAGCCGGGCGGCGCGGCCGAGAGCAGCCTCCGCGCCCGCAAGGAGGAGGACGCGTTCCTGGGCGAGCAGGACACGGGTGAGGGGCGGCGGCAGCGTCCGCCCGCGGCCCCCGGGCCCCCCCAACATCCTCGACCCCGCTCCCCGGGAGGGGCTCCCCGGGCTCCCTGTGCCCTGGTCCCGCGGTCACCCTGCGGGGGCGGGCCGGGAGCAGCGGGCGCGGAAGGCAGCCAGAGATTCAGGGGTTCGCCACCGAGCATCCCAGGGCAGCCTGGAGTGAGCTCTCTCACAGCCAGCTTGGCCTTCCAGTCTGGACCTCTCGGGTATGGCCTCCTGGGATGCTCCTTGGGCATCCCTCCATCTGGGATGCTCTTTCATCATCCCTCCACCTGGGATGCTCCTTGGGTATCTCTCCACTGGTGGTCGGCTGGAATAAAGTCAGGTGATCCTTTAATCCATGAGAAGACCCTCTGCCTCTTTTTAACTGATTGCTTCCTCCTCTATAGTTGAAACAGTTCTCCCCCATGTCGAGTTTCTCCCATCAGAATTGCCCTTCGTCCTCCGGGGTTGCTTTGCAGTTCAGCTGTACACATCCAACTCCCCAGGCCCATATTCTC